TACTTTTCATGTACTTATGCACGTGTTGGAGAGCATGATAAGTGGCAGGTGTAGGTCTGTTCTTGTGCTGAAGAGCGAGAGTTGGCCCGCGCTAGTGGAACACTGAATCTCGTTACGATCTGTTTCGATGCTAAATTGGTACGGGAAGTGAACCTGACGTCGGTGCTTCTGAGCTACGTTCGCAAGAGAGGACCTTCGACAATCTGCTTACAAGTAGTTGCTGCTGGCATGCGCTACCACTTCCAAGTGCTTCCACCTCTCGTAGATAATGAATACAAGGGAAGTTTTGACATGTGCGTTGAGTGTTGCATAGTTTTCCTGTATACGTTAGCTGTTGCTGATATCCCTGGAGTTCTTCAAAAGAGCAGAGGAAAGGAACGGCGTCTTTTTTCGCGCTTTAATGGTTACATTTTACAATTTGGCGAAAAGCCGCACATCATACGGATGTGCGCAGTCAGCTGCCTTCCGAACCTGTTCCAAACTGTCCAGCTTAAAGGATTCAAATTCAGCCTCCAGGTACGCATGGTTCTCTTGTACGGGCACTTAGATTTTTTGGCGGGGAAATTGCTCGTTGAACAGATGGATCATTTTCAAATCATTGGCGACGCACACCGAGTGGACCTGTGCGATCATGCGTTTTTGCAATATTTCGTGCTGTAATGAGATCGCTCGGAAACTCAGTAGCTAAAAATGTGTGACTTACTGCTCCTCGAAGTCCGGTAAGTTAATTGCCTACGCGATACTTGGAAAAGGATTATTCCGTTAAAATTCCAGCTTTCCAAATTTTCTGGCTCCCGAGTTACCAATTTTTCCATCAAAAATTTTCACGGGGCGGTGCGTGAGAACTATGCATACCGAGGGGCTGAATTCGATAACTTTTAGTTTTACATGGGCTGGGAAAATCCCCTTAAAATTTCAGCCTCCCAGCTTTCTTGGTCTTTTGGTTAACAATTTTCCCGTCGAAACTGACACGCTCGTACACGAGGCCTGAACATGCTTGAGGGCTGGTACCGCGGTCCTGGGGAGGCACTTGGCCAGGGAACACACTGGCAAAATTTTGACGCCGGAGCCTAGTTGAGTGCCGAGTTGAAATACCCACACACATAGACACAAACGTACCAGGGTCGTCACAATATGCGTTTTTGCATTTGCATATATGCAAAAACGCATAAGAATCGCGAAATGCAGCTGTCATCTTAGCCTTCCCTTTTCTCCTCCTCCTTCCGGTCTAATCCGACATTTTCCTGTTTCAAAGTAACGCAGGCATTTCCTTTGGCATCTTTTCCCGGTTCTGGCAGACACCCAGGAGAAGCGCTTTTTGTTTCTTTCGTTCTCCAGGAAATGTTCCTTTTTTAGCAGTAAGGTTGCATATGAGGAACAAAGAAAAGAAATGTGCGGTGATAAGTAAAAAAAGGGCGCTCGGCTCGATGCTGGTGAATTCGGATACGATGGGAGGGAAGATGAAATTTGTTTAATGAAATAGTGATTTTGTGCCAGCTGGAGCTCTTGTCGGTGAGTTATGGGTGCCGTAACTGCACATTTAGAATCCAGGAGTAAGATGAAACAATGCCTTGGTGACTCGGCGTTCTGCACAGCCTGAACTATATCCTGGAACGGGTGGAAGGGATGTGTTATGCGCTGGATACGGAAATCAATAGGCAGCCCTGCGTTTTATGCGGTCTGGGACAAAAAGCTGTTCGGTTGTGGAATGTGGACGATTGCTGCCGCTCGCCCATCATCTATACCTGCTGCCTTACAGCGACTCACTGCTGCTCAGCAGCAAATATTTCTGTATGGAAGGAGGCTGCTGTTACTCCTACTGCTGTTGCTGCTGCTGCTGAAGCTGTGAATATGAATGGGGAATCCATTGCTCGACTAGCCGATTTTCGTAGCTCAGTGCCGGAAAAAGTGCTGTGGCGCTCGAAGAATATCCAGCCAACGGAAGGGCGTTTCTCTGCAGGGGTATGCTTCTGGATTACTTCGTAATGCAGAGTTGCCCTAAATTTCGTGGCCGTTGTGCGTTGCGCTTGCATACAATTTGATCGATTTGAAAAGTGTGCTGCAATCAATTGCGTGCTTGGGGAACAACTGTCTGTGCATGAAATGAGTGTGGTTTACCGCCTAAAATTTGACATCTGGAAGTTAAATTCAGCGTTTCTGGACCACCGCCTGCTGCTTCTCAGCGTAAACTTCAACCAACTGAATGGTTCTGACATCACGTCGTTTAAGGTTACTTCGCGTAGCCTAGTCGAATTTTGCGCTGCTCGACTTAGTCTGAAGATTTTTATCTCTTCCATATGAAAACTCCGGCATTTTCCGGGCACAGAGAAATTTAATGAGTACCTCAGCATTGCAGCTTCAAACTTTCGTTCATGCTTAGATAGCCAGCACATCGTACATTGTTGATTAAACACAAGGGAGCTATAAATATCTCAAAGTCTGCCTCATTAGCTGACGACTTGTTCAGTGCAATAAATCACATCTTCGCTCTTCTTTTTCCTCTCCACTTCCACTGCTGTTCCTTCACAATAATAGTACAGGATAGGCAAGAAAGTGGTAGTAGCGCATGGTTTGGTTAAATTGATTTTGTTTCTAAAACCTTTAATTTGCGGTAACTTTTGCGGTACTGTTTTCAGAGCCGTAAAATTTTCTTTCGAGAGACAGTTCCACCTCACGGAGTCACCTGCAAAGGAACGGTTTTTTTAATTCATGGACAGTCTTTCTCATCTTCTACTTGGCTCGAACACTCCACTATGCAGGTAATCCTAGTGCACAAACTGTTTATACACTAAATATATTTTCTTCTTCCCTTTATTGATAGGCACATAAATTTGCGGTTTTTGGACTTTTCAGATCTTTGCAGCTGCTGGGTACAGATGCCTAGCGTTCGATATGCCTGGCTGTGGAAAAACTGGTGGATTGACAGTTCCAGATGCCGAGAAAGCGGAAGTTATACCATTAATAATGCGTGCCTTTGAACTAGACTCCGTAAGTTCACTAACTCGCTCCTTAATTTCGTGAAAATGAAGATTTTTTGCCGCGCTGCTTGCTGAAGGTTTGTGATTCTTTTTAACGGTTTCGCCATCAAAATAAAATTTGAGCAAATTAAAAGGTTTCTTACATGCGGATTGAGATTTCTACGGCTGGGATGCTTTTGACTCAGTCTTTTTCCAAACTGCTTTATCACTCATTGTTAAACATAATTTAACGCAGGTGATACTTGTCGGACACAGTATGGCTGGAAAGTACATTGTTCCGATGCTTGGAACTAGTGGAATAGCGGGTATCGTTGCTATTGCACTATCGAATACAAATGAATTGCCGTCAGCTGTTGAAAGCATTCAAACATCTCTTCTTGTTATTTGGGGTGAAAGAGATACAAGTTTGGGACCAAATGCTGCCTCCAATCTCAGTAGACTGCCCAAATCCAGGCTAGTTTTCGATCGTTTTTGCCGTGTATCATTAGAGCAATAAAGTAGCCAACACACTGACTATCGGTGCAAAGATTCGTTTTTATGCGTTTTTGCATGCATGCAAATTCTAATAAAAACGCATATTGCAGCGACCCTGCCTGTGTACATGATGTATGTGTGTGTATATGTGTGTACGTATGTGTGTGTGTTGTGTGTGTGTGTGTGTGTGCGTGTGTGTGTGCGTGTGTGTGTGTGC